AGGTCATACTCATCGTTTAAGCTCAAGTGGGGTTGCCACTTTTACATAATGCATTGATGTGTTGACATCATTAGAGTTGCTTTGGCTCAATTCTTAGAGTAAAGCTCCCCCTAGATGTGAGATCCCCCCTCAGAGGGATGAACTAACCTTGGGTTTTGTTGATGTTGACTTCATGTAGGTGTTGAAGATGTGGATGCTCTATGTTGATGTAGATCTTTTGGAGCAATCCTTTAGAGTGAGTTGCACTTTCAATACCTACACGGGTTAGTCCCACAAGGAACAAACAAGAATATCCATAGACATAGAGTGATGCACACACAAGATGATGTCCATGAAAGCATTAGGTTACCTTGTCCCTTGTATTACCAACAAGAGGGTTTGTGACTCCATGAACTAGTGCAAGATGTGGAAGTTGGTTGCACTTGTCCTCGCCAAAATGATTAGAGTGAAGTATGTTGGCGGAGTCACCCTTAAGAACTCTCTAGTTCTTCTTCTTCGGGATCCACACCATCTTGATGGGAATCCTTGGAGTTGTAGTCGTACTTGATGAAGTAGAACTTGACGTAGTCTTGGGAACCCACTTGACCAAAGCTTTAGGAGCTTCTTCAAATGCATCAATATCCTCTTGAAGCTTGTCCTTGCCTTTATGCTTGTGTTCTTGTGATGGAAGATCATCTTGTGCTTGTGTCCCTTTGAAAGAAGTAGGATCATACTTCTCTTGTTGAAGAACAAACTTCGTCTTGGGGTATTGATCTTCTTCCCACTCAACTCCATTAGCATTGAACTTTCGTTCAAAACCAACACCTTGGTTCTTCCAGTGTCTTCCTTGTTTGCGTACAATTTCCTCGAATTGCTTACTTCCGGCAAGGCTCTTGTAAACACCTTTCTCAATAATTCCCTTCAATAAGATGTTTTCTTTCTCAAGTGTAACTTGTCTAAGAGAATCCTTAGTGGAATCAAGGGAACTACTAGAAGCAACAATATTGGATTTAGCATGATGATTGTTGTTACTACTAGAGGAAGAATCTTTCTTGTTCTTGTTACTAGACCTGACTTGAGGCATGTAAATAGATAAGAGTAAACGCTTGGCAATGTAAGAAGAACTTTTCTTGCGAAGATCATCATTGATAGCCTTTAGAAACTCATGTTCTTGCTCAAGGTTCAGCTTTTCAAAACGTAATTTCTCATGAGTTCTTAAAAGTTCTCGATGATCTCCTAAGATAGTTTCATGAGCTAACTTAAGAGTGTTTAGTTCTTTAGTTAGAAGCTCAATCTTCTCCTTATCATTGTCATTTGTTTCATCTTGATTAGCATGATTAATTGACGTTTCATCATAGTATTCATCACTAGAGTTGTCAACAAGTAAATCATCATCACCTAGCAAGTCATCTTCATCACTATTGAAATCAACATACTCAGGGTGTAATACCTTAGGGCCTTTAGCCATGAAGCATCTTCCAAGTCCTTCATTTGGTGAATCAAATATGTCGTAGGAGTTGGTTGACACAAGTGCTAGACCGGCAACACCTTCATCTTGAGTATGTTCTGAGTCGGAGTGATAGCTTCTCTCAGAGTGATGTTCGGAGTCGGAGCCGGATACCCATTCACCAACATGAGCTTGATGTCTTCGTTTTGTGTAGCTCTTTGATGATTTGTCCTTCCTTTCCAAATCTTTGCTCCTCCGGGATGTTCTTCGTTCATAACGATCATCTCTACTCCTTCTCTCTCTTGGTGGTGATTCTTCTCTTCTACTTCTTCTCTTAGGTGATTCTTCTCTTCTCTTGTAGGGAGCCGTACACTCATTGGAATAGTGTCCGGGTCTTCCACAATTGTAGCAATTACGCTCTCGACTCGAAGATCTTTTGTCATTGTAGGACCTTGACTTGGAACTTCTTTCCTTGCTCCTACTCTTGTGGAACTTGTTGAAGTTCTTCACCATTAGGCTCAATTCTTCATTGAATGTTTGTTTCTCACTTGATGAAGTGGGAGCTTCACATGAGGCTTTGTAAGCACCACTTGACTTGTTGCGGAGCTCTTCCTTATCCTTGAGTGACATCTCATGAGCAACAATTCTTCCAATGAGCTCCGTTGGCTTGAGATTCTTGTAACTGGGCATCATTTGGATCAATGTGCACACGGTATCATATTTTTCCATCCAAGGCTCTTAGGATCTTCTTGATGATGAATTTGTTGGTCATCTCTTCACTTCCTAAGCCGGCAATCTCATTTGTGATGAGAGCAAGCCTATAGTACATTTCAGTGACGCCTTCACCATCCTTCATCTTGAACTTGTCAAGTTGACTTTGAAGCACATCCAATTTGGATTCCTTGACGGAGTCGGTACCTTCGTGCATGTCAATCAAAGTGTCCCAAATTTCCTTTGCATTCTCAAGACAGCTAATTTTGTTGAATTCTTCTGGGCACAATCCGTTGAAGAGGATATCACAAGCTTGAGCGTTGTAATGCAGCATCTTCAACTCTTCCACGCTAGCTTCACGGTTCGGTTCTCTCCCATCAAAGAATTCACCTTGCAAGCCAATACACATAATATCCCATACGGCGGGGTTATATCCAAGAATATGCATTTTCATCTTATGCTTCCAACTAGCAAAATTAGTATCATCAAAGTAAGGACCTCTACGGTGATAATTTCCCTCGCTAGACGCCATACTCTCCTAGGTCGTGAAACCAAGGCTATGACCACCAAAAGCTATGGAAATCAAAGAAAATGGAGATCAAGGCTCTGATACCACTTGTAGGATCGAAAGTATGTCTAGAGGGGGGTGATTAGACTACTTGGCCAAATCTAGTCTTTTCCCAATTTTAATTCTTGGCAGGTTTTAGCAACTTAGCACAAGTCAAGCAATCAACCTACACATGCAATTCTAGAGTATAGCAGTGGAAAGTAACATAATTGCATATGAAGGTAAAGGGGAGGAGTTTCAGGAGGCAAACACAATTTGTAGACACGGAGATTTTTGAGCCGTGGTTCTGATAGATGGTGCTATTGTACATCCACGTTGATGGAGACTTCAACCCACGAAGGGTAAAGGTTGCGCGAGTCCACGGAGGGTTCCACCCACAAAGGGGCAACGAAGAAGCAACCTTGTCTATCCCACCATGGCCGTAGCCCACGAAGGACTTGCCTCACTAGGGGTGGATCTTCACGAAGTAGGCGATCTCCTTGCCCGTACAAACTCCTTGGTTCAACTCCACAATCTTGTCGGAGGCTCCCAAGTGACACCTAGCCAATCTAGGAGACACCACTCTCCAAGAAGTAACAAATGCTGTGTTGATGATGAACTCCTTTCTCTTGTGCTTCAAATGATAGTCTCCCCGACACTCAACTCTCTCTCACAGGATTTGGATTTGGTGGAAAGAAGGTTTGAGTGGAAAGCAACTTGGGGAAGGCTAGAGATCAAGATTCATATGGTAGGATTGGAATATCTTGACCTCAACACAAGTGTAGGTGGTTCTCTCTCAGCAAATGTAAGTTGGAAGTGTAGGCATATTTTGATGGCTCTCTCCACGAATGAAGAGGAGGTGGAAGGGTATATATAGCCTCCACACGAAACCGAACCATTACACACAACTTACCAATCTCGGTGGGACCGAATTGAGAAACTCGATCTGACCGATTCAGTAAACCTAGTGACCGTTAGGATTTTCGGTGGGACCGACATGCAACTCGGTAGGACCGATATGGTTAGGGTTAGGGCATAACGTAATCTCGGTGAGACCGATTACACAAACTCGGTGAGACCGATTTTGATAATAAGCTAACCAGAGAGTTGGTCAAGTAAACTCGGTGGGACCGATTCGCTCATCTCGGTGGGACCGAAATGTTACGAAAGGAAAACAGTGGGTTTACATTGCAATCTCGATGGGACCGATCACTCATCTCGGTTGGACCGAAACATTACGAAGGGAAACAAAGAGATTACAATCCCATCTCGGTGAGACCGAGATCCCTATCGGTGAGACCGATTTGCCTAGGGTTTGTAGCAGTGGCTATGACATCTGAACTCGGTGGTGCTGGATAGAAAGAATCGGTGGGCCGAGTTTGACTTTTGGTTTAGGTCATATGTGGATGTGAGAAAGTAGTTGAGGGCTTTTGAGCATATCACTAAGCACTTTGAGCAAGAACCTCATTAAGCAACACCTCATCCCTCCTTGATAGTATTGGCTTTTCCTATAGACTCAATGTGATCTTGGATCACTAAAATATAAAGTGTAGAGTCTTGTGCTTTGAGCTTGAGCCAATCCTTTTCTCCTTAGCATTTTGAGGGGTTCACTTTTCTCATTCATGCCATGCCAATCATTGAGTTTTCCTGAAATATTTATCTTGGAATAGTATTAGCTGAATGAGCTATATGTTGTTAGGAATTATCAAAACCACCTAGGAATAGTTGCACTTTCAATAAACGGATGAAATATCGTTCGTTTTACGTAAATTATGTTCGAACTTGAGTGAATTCCGTAGTGTTTTCGTATGAAAGTCATCCGGTTTGTTTAAAATCGGTTTGAAATGTATGCGGACGCGGCTGGATGACCGACTTCCGTATCACCGTCAGTGAACAAATACAGTGTCCATTCTCAAGGTCAACGATTGGAGATGCCCATGTTTTGTACCGTTCTCATGACTCATGAGTGCCTAGGAGATGCACAAAATGGGCCACAATCTATTTGGACTACAAGCTTTGGGCTGCCTTTTCTAAAGGGCCGCCATTACCCGCGTTCCGAAATTTCTGAGTCGTCGTTTATCCGAAATGGGATCACTCAAAAAAAGTTTCTCTCAAATGGAAATCCTTCCAGAATTCTAACATCTTCTTTTGAAGAACGTCTGAAAACTGAAAAAAAGCATTTGAAAAATAAGGAATACTGAAAATAACGCGGTTCAGAGAATTTCTTACGAAAGAAGCAACGAATCGCAGTTACCAGACTGCTCGTCCGAACTAACCTGTTTCCTTTCGCTAATCACAATAACGCATGTGCAATGGTCAGCACCGATCAATTGTGGACATATTAACATCAACAAAACAACCTGGATCGATGAAATCTACACCCTCCTCTGCAAGCTGCGAGGCCAGGATGTCCAGAACGCCAACAAGGCCTCCAAATTCAGGTTTCAGGTCTTCTCCAGCGACGAACTCCTGCACCACGTTGTCCACCTCGATCAGGCTGCACCCCGGGGTCTTCTTCATGCTCCTGCTCCTTATCGTCTTCCTCGTGCTTGCAACCTCGCTCCACTGCCTCGCCGCGGCGTACACGTTGGCTAGCATGACGAGGTTGCCAACGTCGTCTGGTTCCAGTGCGACAAGCCGCTCGGCAGCAACCACGGCCGTGTCGACATCTCCGTGGCTTCGGCATGCGCTGAGCATTGAGCCCCATATCTTCGCATCGGCAGGAACTGGCATGTCTACTATGAGATTCAGAGCACGCACGATTTGTCCTGACCGGCCGAGGAGGTCGACGACGCAGCCATAGTGCTCGACGCCAGGTTCGATGCCATAAACTTCCTTCATGCGGTCGAAGTAGTTCAGCCCTTCGTCCAGGAGCCCGGCGTGGGAGCAGGCTGACAGGAGCCCGACGAATGTGATGCCGTTGGGCCTCACCTTCCCCTCCCTCTCCATATCCACGAACAACAGGACCGCCTCCTTTGCTCTCCCATGCGCCGCAAGGCCGTTGATCATCGTGCTCCATGAGATGACATCCTTCTCCTCCATACCGTCGAACAGCTGGAGTGCTTGGTCGATGCATCCGCACCTTGCGTACATCTCCATCAGTGCATTGCATACGTATGTCTCGCGCAGCATTCTGTGCCTGTTACAGTAGGCGTATATCCACCTGCCTAGCTCCAGGGCTCCCAGTTGGGCACACGCCGGCAACACCGCGACGATGCTTACGTCGTCCGGTTCAAAGCCTTCCATTTGCATTGACTGGAACGCCTCGACGGCGCCAGAGAAGTCCCCCGCTGTCGTGTACCCGGACACCAGTGCAGTCCAGGAAACGATCGTCTTCTCCGGCATGGAGTTGAATAGTGCCCTCGCTTTCCTCATCTGACCCAGCCTCGCATGCGCCGATATAACAGTGTTCCAAGTGACCGCATCCCTCTCCTGCATTCCGTCGAACACCTTGCGGGCGAGCGACAGATCGCCGGCGCGCGTGTACATCTCGATCATGGAGTTCTGCACGACGGCGTTGCACTCGCACCCGGACCTCACCACGTGAGCGTGCACCTGCTTGCCCAGTCCGAGCGCCGCCAGGCCGCCGCAAGCCTTGAGCAGGAACGGGTACGTGAACCGGTCGCCGGCGGCACAAGCAGTCGACGGAAATGGGCGGCACCTCAGCATGCGAATGTACACCGCGACCGCCTCGCGGTGCAGGTGGTTCTGGGCGTAGGCCTTGATCATGGCGTTGTGCAGGTGTAGGTTGGGCTCGCGCACCTGGTCGAACACCCGCGCGGCGTGTGCGGTGCGGCCGTGGGCGTTGCAGAGCTGGATGATCTGGGTGGCGATGTAGCTGCTCTGCGAGAGGGACAGCTGCACGACGTGGGCGTGGACGCGGAGGAGGTCGCGGAAGGTGGCGCAGGCCCGGAGCCTCGCCATGACCGCGTCCTCCACCTGCCGAGCCGCAGTGGACGGCGCGGCGGCCATGTCGACAGGGTGTTCGACGAATTGGCGGCAGAGGGCTGCGTTGGTGACTGGTGAGCAACCGACGCCTATTCGCTCTCTTTTGTTTCAAGCGGGAGGACGCAGATTTGATTTGTTTTTGCCTTTTTGGCATCACCCAGGGATGGAGGATTTAGCTCAAAGGAAAGAAAGTTTGGCGGATCTCCTCTAGTAAGCTTGGTCGTAGTCCGTCGTAGGATAACATAGTTTTTACTTTGGACAAAACCACATAAGCTGCGGATCTCCTCTAAGCTGTGTCTAGCAGCCATGTTTGACTATTCTAGGATAATCAACTTCTACCACATAATCTAGGAGTAAAGATTTGGGCCTCCAGGTACGCTTATGCATGCTGATACCGACATTTGTATCCTGTCCACGGTATGGATTTATATGTAAGAAGTGATTAGATAAGGCAGAAATCGGAAAATATATCATAAGATCAAGAGAAAAACATTTTTTTGAACCTTGAACGATTGTGCTTAGTCTGAAGTGGATTGTAAGCTATGAAACCTTCTAAATTAAATAATTATTCAAAACCGTTTTAAGTTGATCCTACACGGCTACACTAGTTCTAAAAAAAGTACCTTTGTATTCAGACATTTCAAAAAGCATGATAAAGTTCGTGGTTGAATATGTCATGTGCAAAAATTAGAAGTGGAAATTATGCATGTTGTTTTTATACGAAATTTAGACAATTATATTGATTGGTTATCTTTTTCATTTTTACTTCATACTAATGGCATTCTTTATAATCATGATCTTGTTCAGAGTTTTTTTTTTCGGGAAGGGTGAATACTTTTGACCTCTGCATCATGTGATGCACATAGCAAAGAGTTTAGATTTTCTTGACTATTTTCCCAGATTTCAAACAAACCCATAATATGAAAGCACTCTCCAGACCTTCATCTGATTATTTGCATTGGTTTTTGCACTACAAAATTTACAAAAAAAAGGTAAAATACACCCATCGACTGACAAATGGTCAATGAAAATGATGATTCAGTTTTAAGTGTATAAGCAAAAGAAAGAAAGGCTAATCGCTCTAATTGTCATCTTAGATGTGAACGCGGAGAGCACTCCCCTTAATCAAGCACAATGTGATGTTAAGGCCCAGTTCTTTTGCCAGAATTTGGGGATTCTCCCAAAATCCGACCCCTGTCCATCTTCTCCCGGAATCTTTGAGCCCCATTTGTTTTACAATCCTATCTAATTAGACCCCTTAACTAGATAGGATTGTAAAACAAATGGGGCTCAAAGATTCTGGGAGAAGCTGGGTAGGGGTCAGATTCTGGGAGAATCCCCAGATTCTGGCAAAAGAACTGGGCCTAAGAGAGAAACGTATGATCTTCCTACAAAGCTTATGTGGGAGGAGGAAACCAAATGGCTTCAACTTGCCATGGTGCGATATGTCCTAGAAGGGGACAACAACACCAAATACTTCTATCTTATCGCCAATGGTAAACATAGAAAAAAAATCAACTTGCCAAGATGCGACTTGATGGAAGCGCGTAGGACGGTGGCCCTGTTTGGCATCGTGGTGGCGTCGACGGCAGTAAGACCTGACAAGGTGAATGCGTTGATCGCTCCTGAAGGTGGGATCTTAAAAGATGGCGGCGGATAATTCTAGAGCATGCACGTGCGGTGCACGCAGAGGATCTGCTAGAACGGTTGGTATTCTCAGCTTGTTGGCGGGCGGCTTGGTGAGGACACCGGATTAGATGGTGTGTGTTGATGCGCGGCCAGGGCATATTATCAAGTTTGTAGGGATAGTGAGAGTGGTTGCCACGCAAGTGGCTTTGGGTTGATCTATGTATGTATTGTCGAATCTTGTTGAATAATATAATAAAAATGGTTGTATGCATCGCTTGATGCAGAGGCCCGGGCACGTCACCTTTCGAGAGAAAACGGCATAGGAAAAATTCAGTTTGAGCAAGGCGATGGTGCTATTAATGGTAAACACCAACTAAAGACCTATATTATTAATTTGTATAAGATTGTTTTTAGTTCCCATGTCTCTGATTATGTTAAATTATATGAGGATATCAAAGATGAATCCCGCAACTAGCTATAGAGGAGAATTCCATTGTAATTGCCCCTTTTATTGACAAAAAATTATGGGATGCTATTTCACAGATTGAAGACATTAAGGCGACGAGGCTAGTGGGATTTCAGCAAGTTCTATCAGCGGTCCAGGCCTGTCATAAAAGGAGACTTTATGTCTATTTTTGTTGAGTTATATAATGAGATTTTGGCTTTGTATAAGTTAAAATTTGGCATAAAACCCTTCTTCTCACAAAGGAAGGTGCTATTTTAATTCAACAATTTTGTCCACTTTATCTTCTAACTGCCGGTTTTAAAGTGGGGGAGAGGAAAATAAGAGGTGAATGGCAAATAATGTAATGCAAGGGAGAAGAGTTTATGATGGGTACTTGGTATGGCTTGACTTGACGAAGATCTCCCCAGCAACGGCGCCAGAAATCATTCTTGCTACCTCTTGAGCTTGTGTTGGTTTTCCCTTGAAGAAGAAAGGGTGATGCAGCAAAGTAGCATAAGTATTTCCCTTAGTTTTGAGGACCAAGGTATCAATCCAGTAGGAGACGATGCAGAAGTCACCGAATACCTGCACAAACAATCAAGAACTTGCAACCAACGCGATAAAGGGGTTGTCAATCCCTTCACGGTCACTCGCAAAAGTGAGATCTGATATAGATAATAAAGTAATATTTTTGGTATTTTTTATGTATAGATTGGAAAGTAAAGACTGCAAAATAATTGATCAGAAACTAGCAAGATGTAAACAAGATTCAATAATATGGAAAAGAGACTTAATATAATGGAAAAAAGACCCAGGGCCATAGGTTTCACTAGTGGCTTCTCTCGAGATAGCATGTATTACGATGGGTGAACAAATTACTACCGAGCAATTGATAGAAAAGCGCATAATTATGATGACATCTAAGGCAATGATCACGAACATAGGCATCACGTCCGTGTCAAGTAGAACGACTCCTGCCTGCATCTGCTACTATTACTCCTTATATCGACTGCTATCCAGCATGCATCTAGAGTATTAAGTTCATAAGAACGGAGTAACACATTAAGCAAGATGACATTACGTAGAGGAATTAACTCAAGCAATATGATGAAAACCCCATCTTTTTATCCTCGATGGCAACAATAAAATATGTGCCTTGCTGCCCCTACTGTCACTAGGAAAGGACACCGCAAGATTGAACCCAAAGCTAAGCACTTCTCTCATGGCAAGAAAGATCAATCTAGTAGGCCAAACTAAACCGATAATTCAAAGAGACTTGCAAAGATATCAAATCATGCATATAAGAATTCAGAGAAGAACCAAATAATATTCATAGATAATCTTGATCATAAATCCACAATTCATCGGATCTCGGCAAACACACCGCAAAAGAATATTACATCGAATAGATCTCCGAGAACATCAAGGAGAACTTTGTATTTAGAATCAAAGAGAGAGAAGAAGCCATCTAGCTAATAACTATGGACCCGAAGGCCTGTGGTAACTCATGCATCGGAGAGGTAATGGTGTTGATGTAGAAGCCCTCCGTGATCGAATCCCCCTTCGCCAGATAGCAGGAAAAGGCCCCAATATGGGATCTCACAGGTACAGAAGGTTGTGGCGGTGGAAAAGTGGTTTCATGGCTCCCCCTGATGTTTTTAGGGTATAAAAGTATATATAGGCGAAAGAACTAGGTCGGTGGAGCTACGAGGGGCCCACGAGGGTGGGGGCGCGCCCTCCTACCTCGTGGACGCCTCGTTGCGTCTCCGACTTCATCTCTAAGTCTTCTGGTTTGTTTTCGGTCCAAGAAACATCATCGCGAAGGTTTCATTCTGTTTGGACTCCATTTGGTATTCCTTTTCTGCAAAACTCTAAAATAGGCCAAAAAAACAGAAACTGGCACTGGGCCCTCGGTTAATAGGTTAGTCCAAAAATAATATAAAAGAGCATATTAAAGCCTATTAAACATCAAAAACAGATAATATAATAGCATGGAACAATCAAAAATTATAGATACGTTGGAGACGTATCAAGCATCCACATGCTTAATTCCTACTCGTCCTCGAGTAGGTAAATGATAAAAACAGAATTTTTGATGTGGAATGCTACCTAACATGTTTATACATGTAATTTCTTTATTGTGGCATGAATGTTTAGATCTCAAAGATTCAAGACAAAAGTTTAATATTGACATAAAAATAATAATACTTCAAGCATACTAACAAAGCAATCATATCTTCTCAGAATAACATGGCCAAAGAAAGTTCATCCCTACAAAATCATATAGTTTGGCTATGCTCCATCTTCGTCACACAAAATATTCAAATCATGCACAACCCCGGTTTCAGCCAAGCAATTGTTTCATACTTTAGTATTCTCAAACCTTTTCAACTTTCACGCAATACATGAGCATGAGCCATGGACATATCACTATAGGTGGAATAGAGTGGTGGTTGTGAAGAAGACAAAAAAGAGAGGAGATAGTCTCACATCAACTAGGAGTATTAATGGGCTATGGAGATGCCCATCAATATATATCAATGTGAGTGAGTAGGGATTGCCATGCAACGGATGCACTAGAGCTATAAATGTATGAAAGATCAAAAGGAAACTAAGTGGGCGTGCATCCAACTTGCTTGCTGACGAAGACCTAGGGCATTTTGAGGAAGCCCATCGTTGTAATATACAAGCCAATTTATATAATGAAAAATTCCCACTAGTATATGAAAGTGACAAAAAGAGAGACTCTCTATCATGAAGATCATGGTGCTACTTTGAAACACAAGTGTGGAAAAAGGATAGTAGCATTGCCCCTTCTCTCTTTTTCTCTCATTTTTTTGTTTGGCTTCTTTGGCCTCTTTTTTCCATTGGCTTCTTTGGCCTCTTTTTTTTTATTTCCTCACACGGGACAATGCTCTAATAATGATGATCATCACACTTCTATTTATTT